GGGGGGGGGGAGGGGCACAGAGCAGCCACAGTGTATGTGCATTAGAAGCTCCTGTAACTGCACAGGGAGAGATATTGGGGTAACAGCAGCGTTATATTACAGTTTTATGCTCATGGGGCATTTTCTGGGGGGTTGTTTTTGGGGTGCTGAAAGCGAAGCACTCACTGGTACTGACCATCTATTGTAGGAGCTGCCATTTGTTCGCAGCAATGAGTGAGGGGGAAAAAACAACATGCAAAAACAGTGTGCACCTCACATTATATCAATCACATGCCCCCTCCCCCCCCCCACCCATATAGATAACATTGGGACTATTATTCCGGAATACAAGTATCTGCTGCTGGCTGATTTTCCACTTCTGGATCCTCCTCCAGCCTGAGCTCTTTGTCTCTGGTACATTTGGGTCTAGTCTTGCTCATTGCTGGACTATTTTACTCTGCTGTATCCTCCGAAATACCTTAAAGGAGAACTATGAGGGGGGAGGGGCTTGTCACTCACCTCATAGTTCTAGCCGACCTGTGACAATGAGACTGTCACAGGTCGGCTCAGTAGATCGGGAGGTGAGGGAACACATACCGGCGTTCGCTCACCTCTCGATCCTGTCACGGCTCTCTGCCGTGACAGGGGGAGGGGCTGGATTCCCCTCTCCCCGCTCCGATCTGCCAGCGCTGACTGGCGGAACGGACGGGGGAGGGGGCGGGTACAGCTGGCTCTGACTCTGGATAGGCGGAGCCAGCTGTCACTCACGCAGCTGGGTGGATCTCGACATCTAAGTCGGGATCCGCTCCGGCTGCGGCGTCTCAGTATACCGCGAGCTGTAGCTCCCTATATACTGAGCTTAGGGTGACGGGAGGACGCTAGTTTGTGTCCCCCCCCCGACCCTGAGGAGAACTATGGGGAAAAGCCCTGACCTCGTACTTCTCCTTTAAGGGCTTGTTCACACCGAGCGCGTTCCTGGAGCAGAGCAGTTACGGAGCGGATCAAAACTGCGTCCAATGTATTCCAATGGTATTTTTAGCTCCAGTTCACACCGCAGCGTTCAGTTCCAGAGCAGGTGAAAAAACTGCAGCAAGCCCTATTTTACCTGCTCTGGAACGCATGCAAACACCTTGGAACGCACTGAATTCCCATTTTAAACTAAAAAAAAATATTTTTTTTTTTTAACCAAAAACGTCCCGGAACGCATCAAAAACGTGGCACCACCCACTGCACTGCGTGTGCCAAAGCTCATGCAGATCTGCTCTGCATTTGGTGTCAACAAGGCCTCAAGGAGAACTATGAGGAGGGTGAAAATCACTCACCTCATAGTTCTAGCCGACCTGTACAATGAGACTGTCACAGGTCGGCTCAGTAGATCGGGAAGTGAGCGAACACATATCGTCGCTCGCTCACTCCTCGATCCTGTCCCTGCAGAGAGCGCTGACTGGTGGAACGGACGGGGAGGGGGCGGGTACAGCTGGCTCTGCCTCTAGATAGGCAGAGCCAGCTGTCAATCACGCAGGTGGGCGGATCTGGACAGTAATGTCGGGATCCGGCTGCGGCGTCTCAGTATACCGCGAGCTGTAGCTCCCTATATACTGAGCTTAGTGTGACGGGAGGACGCTAGTTTGTGTCCTCCCGTTACCCTGAGGAGAACTATGGGGGAAAGCCCAGACCCCATAGTTCTCCTTTAAGGATTCTCTGCCATGCACAGCCATCGGAATAGATCTGAGATTTCTGTGCCGCTGTTGTGAAGTTTGAAGATGAATTCCTCCGCAGTGCCTATAGCTACAGAGGTGACTGAGGAGATGTGTGAAGGTGCTTGTCCAGAATATGTCCATCATGTGAGGTGTACGGTCCGGGCGCAGGTTCTCTCTACGCTGTTAGTTGCTCACTGAACATAAAACAACAATCAAACAATCAAATTGGCAGAAATGAAAACGATAACAATATACTAGAAATGGACGTTTTGTTAATTACAGGAAATTTCTGCTCAGCGGCCGATAAGAACTGCTGTAAGGATCCAGGGCGCCTCCAGGTGGCGCTGGAGCTAAGCCCTGCAGTTCCGGTGCTCACCTGCAGGTGTCTCCCAGTACTTAGCCATCACCTGGTGCTTCCTGGGAGGGTATTTAAACCCCCCCTGCAGTCAGGACCATGGCTCAGTATTGTTTCCTGTGTCCTGGGAGTCCTGTGTCCTGTGTCCTGTGTCCTGTGTCCTGTGTCCTGTGTCCTGTGTCCTGTGTCCTGGGAGTCCTGTGTCCTGTGTCCTGTGTCCTGTGTCCTG